CCCTTTTATTTCTGTGCTATTAATCAGCCAAGACTTGTGAGGCAATCATCTCTTGGGAACAACCCACCGTTACTCTGTGGAGAACAAGGTGAGGAGGAGAAAGCCTGTACAAGTAATGAGTGAAGATATGACAGAATGGAAATAAAAGTACATTTCCACCAGTGTCATCCTAGCTTGGAATGATAGAAATTGCAAGTCAAAATATCTGGCAGCAGATGCCCAGCTGGGAAAGGCTAGTTTAGAATAACATCTGTGTGTGTGGTGGGGGCAATTCTAATTATACATGCCCTGAAAACATTTCCCCATCACAAGATGTACTTCTTCAACAAGTAATAGCTGGAATGGGATAACCTGGCCACATAAAGAAGCATGTAAACTGGAACTCATTTACCACAAGTGAGTGATAGGAACTCATTTCCCACAGAGAGTGTGTTACACTGTGGGGCACTATATATGTTGAAATAATAAATAAACCATATTCACTTTGCAGGGTACCACCTGCAAGTCTTGTCTTTTACATAGCATGCATGAGGCAATCAAAGAGGGATCAGGCAGTGCTGGAACAAAAGAAACTAAAAAACACAAATTCTTTCACCATGCAGGACAGAAAAATCATCAGCATTTCTGGACTATGCAGCTGAATATGATATTCATTTCCTGATAAAGCTTTTATAAGAGATTGGCTGAAATCCAGAAGGAGTTTGGAACTAGAGTAGACCTACTGAATTAGTGAGGATTTTGTGAGTCAGCTCCTCTGTATATTGAACTGATTCAATGGACCTAGTCTAGTTGTGACTTACTGCTGGATTTCAGCCATTGTTTTGGTGTCCCTTTTTCCCTTTTAGTTGCTCAGGGAAATTCTTCCACATGCAGCTTACTTCAACTAATTAACTCCCAGGAATAGAAATTTGCCGACATACTTCCAAAGGAGTATAGCAGTCTTTGTATGTTTCCTATCTTTGGAAATAGCAACACTAACTTCACAATATGTTCTTCTTTCCAACATACCAAACACTTAAGATGCCCATGGGGCTATTTAATGATTTCAGGTAAGAAGTGAACTGCTAGGATCAACCTGGGCAAGTAATATGACTCTCTTGAAAACAGGAGGTGATAACAGGCAAGCACAGAACAAAATGCAGAGGCAGACAAACTCAAAGGTTTTTACCAGCCTACACACTTGCTCTGCTGTGATTAAATAGAGTATTAGTCAATGCAACTGATGGTGAGAATGCAGGGAACAAACTGAGTTATACTGAGACAAGAATAAGCATATTATGTGTTTCTAGCAAGATGTCAATCATTAGGTATGGAAATATGGCCTATGAGCAGGTGAGTACAAGAGGAGAGTGGGGGAGGTTGGGTACCCATACTGACTACTGAAGAAAACTCTAGAGAATGTGAGCCTATAATTAACGTCTCCCAAGACAGACCATGGCAGATCTTGCTTCAGGCATCCATACTGCTCCCAGACCACTGGTGTGTTTTGGTGAAAAAAAATAGTGAACAAAAGCACGTATGCATTTGAAAAATGGGCAGGATTAAATGTACATATACTTGAAAAAATGAAGAGGTCTGTGTCTTACTCAATGGGAGAAATGAGTTGAAATAGTGTATTTTAGAAAGTAGTTTCTATGTTATTTGCCCTTCAGATATGTCAGGGGTTGGCCAAAGTGGCTTCTTTAATGCTGCATGTGCTCAGATCTATGGTTCCATTCCCCGAATGTGGCCTATTTCTGTACATCCAATTCTATTCAGGGTCAAATCACACATTAAGAGATACATGATATTTCCTACTGTACAAAGTTTTCCTTCTGAGCATACAACTCCTCCAAAGCCTGAGCAATCATTAGATTAGATTAGGCATCCTTCAGTCTCGAGAGACTATGGTAACGTGCTCTGAATAGAGGACTTGGAAGAGCATCTAGTATGGCTGAGAAGGCCAATTCGAGAGTGACAATCCCTTCCACACTAAAGACAAATACGATCTGTCCCCTGTCCAGCTCCCTGATTTTGCTGGGTTCAGGACTGCCTCTTTGCCTCAGCCTGCTGAACAAGTGTCTCTTCAAAATGGGAGAGGCCATGATGCACCGCCTGCCTCCAGGCTGAATGCTTGGATGTCAAAGTTTCCCATCTGTTGAGGTCCATTCCTAAGGCGTTCAGATCCCGTTTGAAGATATTCTTGTATCACAGCTGTGGTCTCCCTCTGAGGGGATTTCCCTGCACTAATTCTCCATACAGGAGATCTTTTGGAATCCGACCATCAGCCATTCTCACGACATGCCTGAGCCAACGTAGGCGTCGCTGTTTCAGTAATGTATACATGCTAAAAATTCCAGCTCGTTCCAGGACTACTGTATTTGAAAATTTGTCCTGCCATGTGATACCAAAAATGCATTGGAGACAATGCATATGGAACGTGTTCAGCTTCCTCTCCTGCCATGAACAAAGGGTCCAGGACTCACTGCAGTACAGGAGTGTGCTCAGGACACAGGCTCTATAGACCTGGATCTTGGTGTACACCGTCAGCTTCTTATTAAGCCATACTCTCTTTGTGAGTCTAGAGAACATGGTAACTGCTTTGCCAGTGTGTTTATCCAGCTTGACATCTAGAGAGAGTGTGTCAGAGATCGTTGAGCCAAGGTACACGAATTCATGAACAACCTCCATTTTTTGTGTGGAAATGGTAACAGAAGGATGTGAGTCCATGTCCTGACCCATGAGTTGTGTTTTCTTCAGGTTGATTGTTAATCCAAAGTCTTGGCAGGCTTTGCTAAAATGATTCATGAGTTGTTGGAGGTCTTCAGCACAATGGGCAACAACAGCTGTATCATCAACAAAGAGAAAGTCCTGCATGCATTTCAGCTGGACTTTGGTCTTCAATTCTCTATCTAGAGAGATTAAAGAGCTTTCTATCTGATCTAGTCCAGAGGTAGACACCTTCTGTTGATTTTAAAAAGGCCATCTGTGATAACCAAATCAAAGGCCTTTGTAGGATCTATGAAGGCCACAAAGAGTGGTCTGAGCAATCAGACTTGCAAATAAAGCCCCTTTTTATCTCCAGATGATCAATCACAAAACAAAAGTAAATTGATTTGCCACCTCCAGTGGGAGGCAAGCTTTTCCTAGAGTGAGCAGACTTTTCTGATATCATCTGCTTCTAATACTACAGCAACTATATCAGCAAGTTTGAGCCTCAAAGAAGCCTTTCTCTATCTCTTGCCTAAGGAGTCTCACCTCACTTGCTGTCTCTTTGCTTTTTCTGGGCAGGCAAAACATTCCACCTAAGGTTAGGCAACTTTCAGTCGGTGATTTTCTTCTAATACTACAGCAACTATATCAGCAAGTTTGAGCCTCAAAGAAGCCTTTCTCTATCTCTTGCCTTAGGAGTCTCACCTCACTTGCTGTCCCTTTGCTTTTTCTGGGCAGGCAAAATTTTCCACCTAAGAAGGTTAGGCAACTTTCAGTCGGTGATTTTTATTAGCTTGCATCAATGGCTGATTTTATCCCTCTTTGTGTATTATTTCCTCTGTTTTTTAAAAAATATATTCCCGTTACAGTGCTTTTGACCATTGTTTCATTAAGTTTTGATTACTGTTTCAGTATGATTTTAGGTGCAACTAATATAGAATGATGGGTTAACTAAATCATTCTCTGCCCCTATTCATTCCCAATCCTACTGTTCCTAGTAGTCCTCCTATTCTGTACTGAGTTTTTTCAAACATGAACATTAGTCCTCCTTCATTTTTAAGTTTATTGATGAGTAATCACTTCTTGCCATTAGCATTTTTTAATTATTAGGTTTTTAAATTATTATTTTTAATTAAATCCTGCACTGGACATTACTGGTATGAGATATGAGGTTAGATATGTGCTGTGGGAATACTCAAAAGATGCTTTAAGAAGAGCTAGTAATGACATGGAGATGTTTTAACAGTTAAGGGCTGTGAGCATACAAATAGTAAGGAGAAGTAGGTCACTGGTGTAAGGGCTGCTGATAGCCTAAAAGCACTGATGCCTGCATTTGCTGCTGCAGTAATATGATTATCTGTAGTTTTAGAATAGGTAGCCATGTTAGTCTGTCCTAGCACGTCAGGCAAAAACTGAAGAATTGGACTTGTCAATGAAAGCACACATTGAAATATAGCAGTAAGTCTTTAAAGTAGCACAACATTTTTGCCTTTTTAAATTTTTTTTTGTTTTTGTTCTGTCAGACATATCAACATTTTTGCCTTTTTTAAATTTTTTTTGTTTTTGTTCTGTCAGACATATTTGTGTGTTTCTTGAGGAGAAGAGGTACACTTTTTAAAAGCAGACCAAAACTGAGACTGTTAACTTCCATGTTTTCTTAATGACAACCTATTACATCTCGGCTCTGGCAAAATGAGTTTGCAAAGCTGCATTCACAAAAAGACTGGGCATTCTAGCATTAAAAAAAAACAAAACAAAACCCAACACATTGACACTTTCCTTACTGCAACCATTCTGTTACAGTGGTGTATGGCTATCCTGCATGGATCCACTGGCATAACTGAACAACTTGAGTTAGTAACAATCTAGCTATGATTTGGGGTCCTCCAGGGTGCCCCGGAGGGGGGGATATACTGCTTCCTTTTGTGTGCCACAGCTCAGCTATTATTTATTTATTTAATTCATACCCCGCCCATCTAGACTGAAGTCTACTCTGGGTGGGGTATAAAGAATTGAAAATGGCAATAAATAAATTAGATAATGACAGGAGGGAAGACTAAAGAGCCAGGTCTTGAGTTTACTCTTAAAAACCCCCAGTGAGGAAGCCAGGCAGATGTCTGTGGGCAGACTGTTCCAGAGGTGACGGTATGGAATAGAAAGCAAAGCAAAACAAGAGAGATGAATTTTTTTTTAAAAAAAGCAGACATACCAGATGATGAGTATATTGTTGTTGCTGTATTTGATGGTATGGAATAGAAAGCAAAACTATTGAAGAGAGATGAATTTTTTTTTAAAAAAAGCAGACATACCAGATGATGAGTATATTGTTGTTGCTGTATTCACATCAACTGCAACCAAAGATCTGCAGTTTGATTCAGACAAGGTACCCAGAACTGTCACCGGTGCTATACTGGGGTGCCGTAAGGCTGATTTTAGTGGAGCTATGTGGTTGTACTGGACAGATGACATGCATCCTATGAATCCGAAGGAGTTTGCCTTGGAGACCTCCCGATCTAATCCTTGAGTGTCTATAAAACACAAAACAAATGGAAGCTGTTCAAGTGGCATTTTCCTCTACAAATTAAAGAGCATTTACAATGGTTTCCACTCACTTGCTAGCATCTGACACAATGATTTCAGTGGAATCTTAAATCCACCTATATTTATGTATGGCCAAAACATTCAACTGCATTTTAAAATATAAATTCAATTGCATATTTGTGGCTAACATTCTGGAAAAAGAGGGAGGGAGGGAAGGAGGGAGAGGGGGAGGGGTTGAAGGCAGTAATTCTAGCACGATGCATTTTCATCCCTGGGCAAGATACTTCCTTCCATCCTCTGTCACTCTTGCATACTCATCTGTAAAAGGGCATAATGAGGGAGGAAAGGAGGGAGAGGGGGAGGGGTTGAAGGCAGTAATTCTAGCACGATGCATTTTCATCCCTGGGCAAGATACTTCCTTCCATCCTCTGTCACTCTTGCATACTCATCTGTAAAAGGGCATAATGATGACATGCCTTATTGAGCTATGGTAAATGCAAACACAAAATGGGCTGAAAAGTGTTTTGCTTTAAAAAAAGAGAGAAAAGGCTACTTTTCCAGATTCTATCACTAGAATAAAATCAGCATTTGGCATTAGCTAGAATGGACTGGTTGCAATCAATAGGACTTACCTTGGTGCTGAATAGCACTTCCCCATTTATTTCAATGGGCTCATTATGGTTGAAACTAAAACTGGATTCTGCTCTTTGTAACAGAGCCCACAGGTACAACATAGTTTTCTCATATACAGTATGTCTCCCACATTTCACACACAAAAAAGAAAATATCTCCAAAATTTAATACACCAAAGCTTCGCAGTCTGATTAAAGCAAAATGTACGGTAAATGGCTAACACACATACAGATAATCCATAGGTGACAAGTGTTCTACAAAGCTTAGCATGTGTCAGCAAGAATGTCCATTTGCTTGTGAATGTATAAATATGGTTGGTGTACGAAGTAATGTGGAGGAAAATTCGATTTGAAAAGGAAGCCATCGTGCCAATATGTGGCTGAAATTCAGATGATCTGGTGGGTCTAGATTTTCCTATACTCTCAAGAGTGAAATTTGGAAAAGTATGCAGACGGTAGAGTTTAAGCACTCATAATAGGCAATCTGAATAACACTGCCAGTTCTCTACATTAGGGCACTCTGAACTTATTTTCTTAATTTTGCAGCTAAACATTATTATGCATTATTAAACTTTATGTTTTCCTTGGCATATTTTGACCCTGAGCTGAAGGACTGGGTTTTTACACGAACTGTAGCTTTTGCATGATTCTTCTGATGACTTCAACACTTTTTCTATGCTGATTGATAGCTATAGCCCTGCATGTGTTATTATGGCTATCTCAGTTATTTAAGACAGTACGAATGTGAAAACAGAAAACCTGCACTGCCCTGAAATGATAGGCAAAGGAGAGATACCTTTTAAAAATCAAGCTGTAAAGCTAAAAACGCTCTGGCCCATTTTTCAATATGAAAGTACTCTTCTGCAACACTTCGGCTATTTTCTATATGTTTCTGCAGTATACTAGTCTTATTTCCTGTTCCTGGCCCAATATTTTACACCTCTTTTAGAGCATCATCCTATGCATGTTTGATCATCAGTAAATCTAGTTGTGTTCCATGAGGGCTGTTACCAGGTGAACAGGCAGAGGAGTGCATCCTTAGGTCCGAGAAGGGGAAGCTATCACAAACTCCATCAAGGAAGAAGCTCATATTATCACCACCCTCTGTGACTTTGTACTCACACACAACTATTTCACCTTTGACAATAAAACCTACCTCCAGATCAACGGAACTGCAATGGGCATTTGCTTGGCCCTAAAATATGCAAACATATTCATGGCTGACCTAGTACAATGCTTTCTTAACTGTTGCACCCCCCTCAAAAAAAAAAGCATTCCTCTATTTGAGATACATCGTTAACCTTTTTTTCCCCTGATCTGGACCCATGGAAAACAATCCCTGGAAAAATTCCACCAGGATTTCAGAAACTTTCACCCAAACATCAACCTCACCCTGGAACAATCTATGCAACACTGCATAGACAACACTGTGAAATGACAATATGGGCATCTTTGTACCACACTGTACCAGAAAACCACTGAACAATATACCTGTCTGCGCTCTTCCAGCTTCCATCCTGAACATATAACAAAATCCATTGTATACAGCCAAGACCTAAGATACAATCGCATCTGCTCCAATCCACATAATAGGATCTACAAAATGCATTCCTCAGAAAACAAGACCCACCCCATATGATTAAGGAAAAAAATCAACAAAGGAAGGCACATACCTAGAAGTGACTTACTGTAAGACAGACCCAGAGGACAACATGACAGAACACTGCTAGTTGTCATTTACAGTCAACAAGTGAGATCACTCACAGACATCTTAAGTGATCTCCAGCACATCCTTGACAAGAACATCTCACTCTCCAAAGCTCTTGGTAGGAGACCCATACTTGCCTGCAGACAACTTCCCCCCAACTTCAAGCAAAAACTAACAGACAATGGGCTACAAAACAGCAGCACAGAGAGTAGGATTAAACCTTAGCACAGACTCAGATGCCAACTCTGCCCACAAATCCAGCAACACAATTACAGGACCTAACAATGTCATATACAACATCAAAGCCATATTTTGCTAACAAAGCCCCTCTGTACTCTACATAGGACAAACAGATCATATACAACATCAAAGCCATCTTTTGCTAACAAAGCCCTTCTCTATTTACATAGGACAAACAGGACAATCTCTAGGAAAATGAGTCAATGGCCACAAATCTGACATCAGAAACCACAATACACAGAAACCTGTCTCCAACCATTTCAATTTACCAGGACACTTTGTGGAAGATTTGATAGACACCATTTTAGAACAGAATCATTGCAAATAAAGACTAATTCTGACAAAGTGGATGTGTTCACAAAAGTTCACATTAAAATATAATAGTTTTTAAGATGCCACACGTTTTTGTCTTGTTTTGTTTCTTTGGATTTTGCCTGATATGCTTTCACAGTTAACTCTTTCAAAAGTACAACTAATCGGAAGACGTTACTGTGGAAGACAGTTTCCAAGCACAAGTGGATATTTACAATTGCTGGTTGCCAAGCCCCAGGAAAGAAGATGCTCCCTAAGATCAAGATAATGGAATTATCACAGGGACTCCAAAGCCACTGACCTTTCCTATTGCAATAACCTACTTCAGGATGTTTAATAACCATAAGTTTCCAGAGGGGTAAGTTTTACATATTAATTCAAATTCAGCACCTCCGGCAGCGTGGTGCCCTATAAGAGAATGGCAACAGCAACGAGAAGAAAATACCACATCCTAAGGTTCATTTTCCCGTGCACCCCAGGGTTCCAGAAACCATTAATCATCTGCATCCCATTCTTATTAATCACTCACAAATTTGCTGACCTTATTGCCCTTATATAATCACACTGCATGCCTACTAAAGACTGAACCACTGCAAGATCGCATGGAAGCGTAATGGACACACAAGAACCATTTTGTGGCCTCTTAAAGACTTACAGTTTTATTGGGTTTCCTTGTATAATTTTAAATCACAGTAAAGTTGTTAAGATGTCAAAAGATATGTGGGTCTCTGTGTGCACTGGTTTGCCCATGGCTAAAGCTTGTTATGTATTTTGGTGGCACTTCCTTGACCACTTTGCAAGTGTGTACATTTCTGAAAGGAACTGAGCAGCATATTACTTCTATCAGTTTCAATGGACACCAGTTGCTCTTATTGGAACCACTCCTGCTACTAGGCTATGTGAGGCAGTTGTTTCAATGAGCATGCACAGCGAGGTGGCAGCAAGATGTTGGAAGAGATTGCTCTCTACCACACAGTCACTCTATCACCCTGAACCGGCGTGGTGCCTTCAGATGGAGTGGAAGACTCTATTTAACCAGAAAATTATTCAAAGCTGCACCCTAACCCTGATCCTTAACCACATTTTACCTAAGTTCAGGAACTTGAATAAAGAAATTTTATCTGCCTTGGACAGGAATCGTATCTGCAAAGCATTGGAATTGTTTCTGCATTACACAGAACTGAGAATATATATTTTTTAATTGTGGCTATTGTGGTTCACCTGTTTTCCACCATAATTTTTCACATATCAGTCAGGCTCCAACACTTTAATGACAATTTAACAAGGTGCAGATTTGCTTCTATTTCTATCTGAAACTTGCTTCCTGGGGATAAAGTTGCTCAGCCACAGGATTTTGGTAGCCTCAAGGAAGAGGGAAATATTATGGTTGCCAGGCTGTAGGCTGTTTGATGGTTCCCTATGAGGTAGTTCTCAAACAAAGTTTCCATTTGGGAAATTTATTATCATGCAGATGAGATTTGAAACTGACTCTGCAGGTACTAGTGGAAACACTGTGTTATTGTGCTTCCCAACCCACAGAGCTAGTTCCCCCCCAAAAAAACAACAACAACAAACCACCACAGTCTGTGAGCAGAACACTTTTGTGATAACAAGTCAAGGAGAATCTAGCTGGTAACACTCCTCAGTAGCTTTCACCTGGAAGACCAAGGTGGTTTGTGTGCCAAATCTTTCATGAAAAACTGACTGAATGGTGTCTAAAAACTCTGCTTCATCTAACAAGGAGGTAGGCAAACTTGCTACTGGGAAAAATGTGGCAAAATTGCCCATTGTTCCTAGAAAGTAAGGAGTCTTTTATGTCAGTTTGTGGAGCTGAAGGTCAGGAGAAAATTGGCATGCTGTGTGGGGTACACTTTGCCCACCCTGATGTAACAATGAGTAAGCTGGACTGCTGTACCTCATGCAGACTTCATGTTTTTCAATCCTGTGTAGAAGCTCCAGAGCAGTGTAAGAAATCCCACAGAAGCCCTTTCAGTAGCTCCTGATTTGGAAGTGCGGAGCATAACTGAGTGAAGCTCCAAAGCTAATAGTGGGCTCAGTAGGCCCAACTAATACAAATTAATAATATAATAACTAG